AGATCACTTGCCTGTTTCCAGCTGGTCCTTGTACTACTCTGCTGTTGGGACTAAGAGACCTCTCTGGTGTTGATGTGGTGCTAGATCTTCTCCTTATTTCTACTCGCCAAATTACAGTGAGAGGGAGGTAAAGGGGCATTCAAATACTTTTCTAATGTGTCATTTCTGCAAAATGAATTGTTGTAGTGGCACAGTGATCATGATATGGCATCACAAACGGGAAGGGAGCACCATGCGGCTGATTAACATGTGATCCACAATCATGGACCAACTTGAATTAGAATATGTTTGGAAAAAGATTTGACCATCAAGTGTGCTAAGTAACTGCTAAGCTTTCTTAACCATAGCTGGAATCATATCCCCTATAAGACCACATGAATCCTTAGGGCCAGATTTTTCAAAAGAGTCCAGCACCCTGCAGTACTGGTTGAGAACAGTGAATTTTTCCTGGGTTAGCATATATCAAGTATCTGGTCTATTATTTACTTGACTGAGTGGGGACTTTGGATGTTGATGTCTTTCAAAAATTTGGCCCTGAACTTTGTTCTATTATGCCAAGACTTATAAGTCAAAACAAAAAGCTCAGTATTTAACATCCATTTCTTCATTTAATTTCTGTTTACTTGGCATGGTGAGGCTATTATTCACGAACATTTTTTGGCTAGGAAGCCATTAGTTGACTAGCATTCCAAATTGATATAAATTCAAACCTTAAGCCTCTTACACAATGCTACACTGTAGCCTCAGTTCTTTCATCCACAACCTAGCTATTTGAATTTAGCAATGTACTGCATGATGTCAAGACTTTCTTGCTGACACATGGCTTGAGCCTTCATTGCTCATAACTTTTTAATGCCCATTGAAACCTGGGATGAAATAAAGTTTGACAGGATGGTCTTCAAAGAAAACTGATCAATATTAAAAGAGGCGTCAAAGGAAATAGATATTTAAAATGTTCCAACTCTCAAGTACTTTCATGGGTAGAATCAAATGATTTCTGTTGTTGGGGGGGGGTTTTTAGAAAATAAGAAAAAATAAACCACTTTGATGACCATATAAAGTCTCACTTACTATGGTACCTAGCAGCATAAGAATT